CGCAGGGCCTCCAAGGGAGCCCCTGGACGCAAGAAGCGACCAAAATGAGATTTCACGAGTTTGCCTACCAAGCCTAGCTAGAACTTCAGCGCGAGCGAAACCAGCGCGGCGGTTCCAGTGTTTATATATATATACACACATGTTGCACGACGTTGTTAACTAGAAACACATTGTTTGTGATCCGCGCTAGGTAACAGCGAAAATGCATATGTTTCCAAAGTGTGGTTTCTTTGTTTTGGGGATACGTGGGACATCTGACATGTTCACTGGGGATCCTGCTACTGAAACCCCGAAGTGTCATTATCTTAGTTTCGAGAGAGAGAGAGAGATAATAATAATGTCTAGGACTGAACTTATCAGTCTCCGATTGTGGGTTTAATCAGTTTCCAAGTTATGCTTTTGCTTGTTAACATATTATTCGGTAGTTAGGTACGTACCAACTCGCTAATGTAACCGAGTTTCTCCGCACCGACGGCGCCGATGCATCGCCGACGTCGCCGATGTATCGCAGACTCATCGGCGATGCGTCAGCGATGCGGCGCGATCCCCCAACTTGGACCCCATTCTGGAGGCCTCCAGAAACGAGGTCATGTGGGAAATGTGCTTTGCATTTCCTTTTACCGTGTACGGTCTTTGGGGGGCGGGGTCCCTGGCCCTCGCGAGTGCCAAGAAACTTCCCGGATCGAGAAACGTGTTCCCTGGAAAACCCCAGGGTCCAGGACCCGTTTCCCTCAGCGCCCCCGTCCTTAGTCGGGCTGGGCCAGGACCAGGATAAACCGCGCCAGCGCGTTCCAGAACGCTCTCAGAGCGTTCCAGGACGTTCTGAGAATGCCGCGTCGCCCGACACATCCTCCAAAACCCCCAGACCTCAGAGATCCAGATTCTGTCCCGATCGTGGCATCGTTTCTTACACCCCCTCAGATCCGAGTTTGCGAAACATTGCAACATCGCGGACAATCACGACCAGAGCCGTGGACCCCATCTTTCTGCTGCATCTTTCCGGGTCGGACCGATCTGTGAGGATCCCGGGGCCCGAAATTGGGCGAAAACGCCCAGTATGAACAATTGCATCGCCCGGATCTCAGGGTCATGCCAAGAGGACGCGGACAGCGCGCTTGCCGGTGATCGGGCCGCCGAGGGGCAGCCGAACACCTCGATGCGGCAGCCCGTCTCGAGCGGGGCGCAACGGAAGCAGCGGGCCGAGCGCCCGGAGGCACTGCGGGCGCAGCCGCCCGCCTCGCCCTCCAGAGCGAAGGCAGGCGGCAAGGGCGCGTCGTTGGCCTCGGGGGCGCCGGGGTTCGACGCGCTGCCGAGGCTGCTGCCGCCGGCGGGGAGCAGCGGCGTGACCTCGCGCAGGAGAGTGGCGAACTCGGTGCGGCAGCCCGCCTCGAGCGGCGTGCGTTCCGAGCGGGCGCCAGGCATCACCGCTCGGCCGGCGTCGGGCGCTGCGGCTGGCCGCGCACCCGTCCGCGGCAACTCGAGCTCGGCCACCCCAGGAGGCTCGCCGCCGGCCGCGCCGCTGGACGGAGCTTTGTGCCTCCCAAAATGTGGAGCCGTCTGGGGGTCTGAGGTGGCCAGGTGGCCCAGCAGTGGTTCCAGCCAGCAGAAGGGGGGGGGCCGAGGATCGAGGTTCTGGGTCCGAAAATATTTGCTCATTCATCCTAAGTGGGGTTCTGGTTTTCTCTGGACACCCCGCGCAGCCCTCTCCTTACACCCCCTTCCTCCTCCCTGCATTATCATCATACTCCTTCCTCACCGCCATCACAACACCATCATCATCATCACTATCAGCATCAGCATCAACATCAGCATCATCACCCTCGCCCTCACCATCACCATCATCATGATCATCATCATCATCATCAGCAGCATCATCAGATCACCATCGTATCAGCATAAGCAGTTTATACAGCATCATAATCACAAGCATCACCAGCATCATCATACTTAGCATCAGCATCACCATCATCACCATCGCCATCACCATCACCATCACCACCATCATCATCCTATCGTGGTCATCGGACATCACCATCACAACGCCATGTTGTCACACTCACCATCACCACCACTACCATCATCATCATCAGCAGCAGCAGCAGAAGCATAATCATCATCATCGCCATCATCATCATCATCATCATCAGACCACCATCGCCATCACCTCTCACCGTCCCCCATGATCAGCGACCATAAGAATCATCGATTATGGTCTCGAGCGGGAGCCTCGTCACTAAGTGAGTGAAGAGGAAGTCTCGAGCGGGCGCCCCCTCCCGATGGGGCCGCCAGATTTTGTTACTACTCCGAGCGGGTCACCCAGATCCTGCAATTGTCGTCAATTGGGTCAGCTCCTGAGGCCTGAGTCTGGAGGATGCCTCGAGCGGGAGCCTGGTCTCTCAGTGAAGACGGAGGACGTCTCGAGCTGTACCCCCCTCCCTATGGGGCTGCTGGATCACGTTATCAACCCGAGTGGGCCATCTAGAACTTGCAGATGCCATTGTTGGCCCGAATATGGAGAACGTCTCGAGCAGGGACTGCGTTTTTGAGTGAATTGCGCGGAAGTCTCGAGCGGAAACCCCGTACTTGTGGTTCCGCCAGACTTGACCAATCCGAGCGGGTCGTCCAAATCTTGTAAATGTCCCTAGGGCTTGTTCCCGTGCCCCAGCGGCCCGCGGGGTTGCCCCAACGGCCTGGACCGCAGAGTTGTCTCAACAGCTTTGCGATCTGGCCACTGAAGAACGCGCCCGTGCTGGCCGAGGCGGTGACGACGCCAAGGGAAATCTACATGCGTGCCCTGGCCAGATCTACGGAGAGGTGCAGGAGGGGAAGGGGCAAGAGGAGGACAAGGAAATGGAGAAGGAGGACGATGGAGAGAAAAAGGAGCAGGAGGAGGACAAGGAGAAAAGCAAGAAAAGGATGATGATGAGGAGGAGGAGGAGGGGGAGGATACATACAAGGAGGGGAAGGAAGATGACGAGGAGGAGAAAGACGAGGAGGAGGAGGAAGAGGCCAATCAGAACGTGGGAGGAGGGCCTCAGCCAGGGCGAAGAGGAAATAGCGAGGGGCAATTCACACACATTCTCATGCGGAGTCCGACCGTCGGAGTGGTTACCCTCTTCTTTCTCCGGGGGGCATTCTCGGGGCCCAGGACCAACAACAACTGACCTGAGGTGACAAGTTTCCCCAGACGGGCCTTGGGAGGGGTCCAGGGATCGAATTTGAGCGGAGTTGCACTGACCATTCCTTCCTGGCGTATGTGTTCGAGGCCCATTCAGTTCAGACAACCCGGCCGCCTCCAATCCGAGCAGGCGGCTCGACTTGAATTCCGATGCTTTTCACGTCAACGTCGCCGATGCATCGCCTATTTGTTGTCGATGCTGCGCGGTCATTCGACCCCATCTATTCGGACCTATTTTGGGAGGCCTCCAGGAGCACACGCGGTCGGGGGCTTAGAGGCTGCAAGCGGGGTGTCTGCCCTAGATCGGGTGTTGCCAAAGGTGCCCTGGCCAAAATGTCCTTAGGATTTCCAAGGAGGCCCCCACAGCCTTCAGAGCACATCTCACGAGGCCCAGGGGTGCCCAGGGGCTCCAACATGCAGCGAAAAGCTGGGGGCATCTTGGACCATGAGCACCTTGTAGCGACCCCCGACGAGAAGCTGTGGCAGTGGATTCGGCGGATAGACAAGCCGCGAGTTTCCACGCGACAGTCGCCATGGACGACCGCAACGCCCTTTTCGGAGTGGGGTGGTTCTTTTTCATCCTCCTGGTATTCTGGTCGAAGCACACCACGTGCGACGCGTACCTGATGCCTGCCATCAACATCTCGAGGCCGAAACGAAGGCGTGTTCATAAGCTGTCGGAGCTCCGCGCGGATTTTTTGGATCGGCGCTGGCCCCCCCTCCTTGGCGGGCGGAGCGCGACAGGGGCGGCGCCAGAGGCGCCGCCAGGGGGGACCCAGTGCCGATCCGAGAAATCTGCCAGGATCTCTGAGAGTTCCTGCGCATGCGTCGTTTTGTTCTTCCAACATCTTCGTGGACAGGATGCGGGCCAGCGAGCGGCCCTGGCTCCAGAGGTGGGGCGAGGAGGCCGTCGCCGGGGCCACCGTCTGCGCCTTTGGGTGCAACGGCCCGGAGCTCTTCACCAACTTCGTATCCCTGTACACCGGCAGCGACGCGGGCATCGGGACGGTCGTGGGCTCCGAGCTGTTCAACCTACTCATCATCACCGGCGCCACGATCCTGGCGACCAGCAGCCTCCCACTCCAGCTCGAAGAAGGAACAACTGCCTGACACATAAACTTGCGGAGCCCAGCACGGATTTCTCGGATCGGCGCTGGGCACCCCCCTGGCGGCACCTTGGCGCGCTCCTCGCACCAGGGAGGGGGGTCCAGCGCACATCCAAGAAATCTGAACGTATCTCCGAAAGTGTTTGCTTGTGCAGTTTTTTGTTCTTCCACCAGCTCGACGTTGCCTCGTTCACCCGCGACGTGTTCTTCTACGGCGTGTCGATGACCCTGCTCTACTGGACGCTCTCGGACAAGATGGTCGAGTTCTCGGAGTCGCTCGTGCTCCTGGCGGCGGCGGGGCTGTACGTGGCGACGGTGTACTTCACGACGGACGTGGACAGGATGGTACGGGGTACCCCAGCGTTGGAGCCGGCTGGAGGGCTGAGGTGACCAATCAAAGAAAGTGCATGAAGACCGACAGCAGTTCTTGTCCATTCTGAGAAGGATTCGCTGTCAGTGTCGCCGCGGACGTTGCTCATTTGAGATAGTAGGCCGCCTGCCAAATGGCGGCCGCTGTCGGCTTCGGACAGCATTTCTTTTTGGGCATCGCACGCATTTTTGCTCACCCATTTCTCGGGCGTCCAAAATTGGTGCCGGCCAGCAGAAAGAAGGAAGCAGGGGGCCTCTTCGTCGCCATGGCTGGACGCGGCTTGAAGCATTTGCCAGTTTCGACTCTTGGACGGGTTACTATGGGGACAAAAAATGAGGAAGTCCCCGCCCTCTTGACCGATTTTCTCGGGGCGCATTCAGTGCAGAACCCCCAGTCGTTTCCAATCCTCACCGACTGGCAGCATGCCTCCCACTCGCCAGCTCAGCGACGAGTCCGCTGGGCACGAGCGCCCTAGAAGGCGCAGCTCCTTCCACGGTGTGGAGGTCCATGTCGAGGAGATAATGCACAGCCGCATGACCGACGCCCATCACCTCGAGATGAAAATGGATGCGACGGATTTCGGCAACGCTGCTGGCATCGACTTCGCCCCGACGAAGTCGCCGCACATCGTCAAGCATTCCAGGAGGCCTTCTAACGGCCCGCAACTCGACGGAGTGCAGGACGAGGCGCTGAGGGGCCCCGCGTTGCTGTATAAGGACCTCAAGGAGGTGGTCGTCCTTTCAGAGGGCGTCATGCAGCTCGAGTTTTGGCCCCACGTGTGGGAGCATGTGACTTTGAAGCTGAAGTGTGGGACTTCGGTTGATCGCGATGAACTTCTAGTGAGGATTAGGGAGCACTCCCTCGGGAAGCCTTGGGAGCACGAGTACGACTCTTCGGTCTGCTTCGCGTTTATCCGGCTCCAGCGCACTTTCACAGGCGAGACGAGCACCGTGGATAAGTTCTTGGCAATCCCTGAGTTCATTGTGAACGTGTGCCTGATGAGCACGCTGTCTGTGGTCGACGTAAAGGACATCCGGAAGGAGGACCGATGGCCGTTGTGTTTCGTGGGCTCCATGATTTGGTTGGCCTTCCAGTCGTGGGTCTTGCTTGAGGCCTGCGACGCCATCCACTACCATATACCAGCCATTCCCACTAGTTACCTGGGTATCACAGTCTGCGCTGTGGGGACATCGTTCCCAAACGCGGTCGCTTCCGTCATATTGGCGCAGCAGGGGAAGCCCGACGCGGCAGTCGCCAATGCAGTGGGCTCTTGCGTCCAGAACATCTTCGTCGCGATGGCGCTGCCTTGGGCGTTCTTCTCGGCGCAGAGTATGAACTTCGGGGCATTGGCGCTGGACGTGTCGGGTATCAACGAGGGCATCGTCTGGATGATGGGCACCCTGGCGCTGGTACTGCTGCTCGCGCTGTGGCCCCCCTCGTTCACGCTGCAAAAGAGCCATGGTGTCATCCTCATCCTGGTCTACGTGGCCTACCTTGTGGACGTTACTTTGGATCAGTTCGTGATCTCCGTCTGTCCCACTCTGGTGTCAGGATTCCTCTGCTGACCTTGCTCGTCCACCACGCAAGTTGAGCTGACAGGCGCTGGTCGTTTGCTTACCCAAACCAGTCTGTATGTGATCGGCTTCTGCCCCACTCGGTGACTGGATTCCTTTGCCGACCTTGCTTGCTCGCCATGTAGGTTTACTTAACTGGCGCCTGAATGCGTTGACCGTCACACCAATGCTTTTTACCCCGTATTCTTCACAACAAGTGAATGCATCCATCGAAGACTCCCGTGAATCGCTGCCGCCCCCTGCCTTTCGGGAAACGCGTGGGTGGCCAAACGTCGGGCTAAAGTCTGGCCAAGCTATTGGACTATGTGTTCACCCAGCCGTTGTGGACACACTTGAGGGCGGAAGGCAGGAGGAAGGCGATCAGAGCAAATCCAGGGTGCATCGACGATGTTGCAATCCACCCTCCCGTCCCAGGTCCCCTCCCTCGGGAGTCGGTGCATGTACTTCTTGGCATGGCGGGAAGCGCGCCCCCTGGGCCTGCCACTCGGGCGAGGTTCCGTGTTATGAAGGATGCTCTCCGTCTGCACACAGGAAGCGCAAAGGGGCAGGGCAGCCACAGCTCAAGGCGGTGCACAGCGACAGACCCGTGCAGAGACCTGCGCTGACCCCCCCTCCGTGCAAGTAGAAGTGTTGCAGCATCTCAGTGTGTTGGCCATGACAGTCGCGGAAGTCTGAGGCGACAGCCCGATTTTGAACAAGGAGCCGCCTTCCATCCGTGTAACTGATACTCAATGTTGGGCGCCGGGTCGTAGAATGCGGAAGTGTCAATCGAGAGCCGCATTCTGAAAACAAACCGCCACCATCCTTGCAATTCTTGGCAATTTTGAAAATGCTCGCTGTATTAAGAGAGCCGCATTTTGAAAACCACCGCATTTCTTCTCTGTACCCTCTTGGTTGCTTGCAGATGAGTGCACGTGGCACAAAGGCGAGAGCAGATATTGAAACCAGACTGGTTTCCATCCTTGTAGCTGCTGGAAACGTTCTACACCATTGTGCACGGCGCTAAGGCGAGCGCCGCACTATTGGAACCACAAGTGCATCATACTTGTATTTGTCGGAAACGATTGAGACGAATGTGCGCGGCGCAAAGGCGAGAGTCGCATTTAGGACACAGTTGGCCTGCCAGCCTCATAACTGCTGGAGGCCACTGTATCCTACGAACCGACTGGCCCGGCCCACGGCCACGTCTAGTGGTGCGACAGGTGGGGGGTGAGGGATACAGGGGGAGGGAGATGGGGTTACGGGAGGAGAAGGCGAAACAGGAGGAGGAGGAGACATTTTGGGCACTCTCGGGGGACGCTGGGAGACCTTTTGGAGGACTCCTCTGTGGGTTCCTCTTTGGGGCCTTTGGGGGGACTCCTGGGGCCTCCTGTGCCGTCCCAGGGCTTTCGTAGCCGGTCTGACGGTTGCGGACGCCGTTATGAGGCTTTTGTGGAACCGTTTTGGGGGCTTCTCAGGCCGTCTTGGGGTTATCTCGAAGGCATTTGGGACCGTCTTTGCTTGTCGGAAGCCCGAAAAGTGTCGGGCCTTCTGCAGGGCATCTCGGTGGCTCCTTGAACCTTCTTGAGGCCATCTGGGGACGTCCTGGGGCCGTCTTGACGCCATCGTGGGGCTATCTTGGGCTCTCTTGGGGCTCTCTGGATGCCAGTTTGGTATATTTTGGATGTACCCGAGGCATCTTGGACGAACCGCCCATAGGATATTGCGTTTTCGGGTGGCCCGTGGGATTCGCCGAAGGCCATTGGGATTTTCTTTCAAGCGCTCGAAAGAGCTACACAAGTTTGGCTCGCCGAGAACCCCTCTAGGAGGCTGCGGAGATGGCGGATCGAAGACGCATACAGTGTACCACCGCCACCGCTTGCCTTCGGATGCGCCTGTGTGGCCAAACGTTGGGCCAGAGCCCCATCGTGAAAACCGATGGGGGAACACTGGGGGAAGAGGGGTCAAGGGACGAGAAGGAGGACGATGGGGAGAAGGAGGAAGACCAGTGTAAATCCAATATTCGCCAACGATGATGGAACAAATCTTGCAAGCTCCCTCTTCATAGGTCCCTACAAGGATTCATTTCCACTGAGGAAATTCCCCCCTTGCGGGACAACCATTTGAGGATCCGGAAGCGAGCCAAGGCACCATAACCGAAGCTCCAACGCCACGAATCAACTTGACTGTTACGTCCTGACGATCCTGCATCGTGCCAGGCCGCCACTCCTGGGACTTCAACACCGCGAATCCACGAACCGAATGCGTCCTGACAATCCTAAATCGCTCCAGAACGATGCTCGTTACGTTCGCAGCGAAAACCCGCGACACTCCTGCAACTCAGTAAGATGAGCGCTCGCGGCGCTAAGGCGAGAACAACATTTAAAAAAGTAGCCTCCCTCAATCCGTGAAGCTCTTTCGCATTTTTCTTCACGGATCTTCGCTAATCCATTCCGAAACGCATGCAGTCAGACAGAGCGGTCAAAGAGAGAAGGGGGGAATATGTTGAGCCATGTTGGAGGCTACCTTGGAGCATCGGAGGCCTTCCACTATGAACTACGGGATCTTCCTTTGGGGGGGAGGGCGTGGGGTCCTCTTGGGGTTTTCTCGGGGCATGCTGGGGCCTTCTTGGGGCGCTTCGGGGGGGTCTAGGGGTTCCTTTGTTGCTCGTTTGGGGTGTCTTGCGGCCCATCTTGGGGACCTCTTGGGGCTCTCACGGGGTATTCCTGGAAACTTCGGAGGGCCTCCAGGGCCATCTGGGAGGCCATCGAGTACAAGGGGGGTCTCTTATTTAGCCCCCCCCATAAGGGCCCTCGAAATCGCCTCTGGGGGATGGTCCATTGGTGTTTGACGGAGTTTGGCGTCGTGGGGAGGCCCTCAAGGGTCTCCAAAAACATGTGGATCCGTCTTGTGGCCCGCTTGGGGTCTTCTGGAGGCATGCTGTTAGCTACCTTGAGCGCCATGTTGTGTTATTTTGAGCAATCTTGGAGGCAATATTGGGCTCTCTGGGGCCCTCTTGGAGCCATCGAGGGTCAATAAGGACACTCCGGCACCTCGCGACCCCCCCCGTCAAAGTCAATGGGGGTCTTGGAAGAGAGAAGAAAGGCATCTTGACCTGGACCTGGCCCGCTCTTCGGGGGGTCCGTGCCTGGACCTGGCCCGCTCTTCGGGGGTCTTTCGGAGCTGGGCGCTAGCGCTGGCGTCAGATCGCAAAGTCCTGGTGTGCGATTACGGCTACCAGGCTCAGTCGCCACGGGCGTTAGATCGCAACGCCCTGGTGTGCCACTGCGGCTACCAGGCTCGACGTCGCCACGGTTGCTTGTGCTGGAGGTGGGCGCGATTGAGTATTGCTCGAGCTCTGGCCCACCCCTCGGGGATCTCCAGCGCGGACCTGGCCCGCTCCTCGGAGGTCTTACTGCGCATCCATCGAACATTGGCCCGCTCATCGGGGTGTTCGGGCAGGGACCTGTCCCGCTCTTCGGGGCTCCCCGAGCCGCTCGCGGCCATGCTGCCGACGTCATGGTCGACGTTGGGGTCGTGATGCCCGTGGGCCCGCCGTGTGCCGCGAGCCCTCATTCGGGAGCTGCCGCTGGCGCGCGGCGCAGGGAGCGCGCCGCTTCTGGTGGGGTAACGCGGGCGGCGGGGTCCGACCACCGCGAGGGGCGGCGCGTCGGCCGGGGGTGGATGGGGGGGGCGCGGGCGGCAGCTCTCTGGGCACCCCATTGCCCCCCCCCCCCCCCTCGAGGCCGGCGCAGCCGCGCGACCACCCCTCGGATGCCTCAGCGCCAGCGGGCGAGCCCCGAGCTGGCGGAGCTGCAGCGGCTCGCCAGCGTCCGCGGCACATGGGGGTTCGGCCTGCGGGGGGCTCGGCCGCGGGCCCTGGTTCTCCGGGGTTTGCTTGGCCAGGTTGGTGATGACAGACTTGGCTAAGACAACGCGTTGGATGCCAGATCTCTCTGGCCACGGAACATGGCAGTTTTCGATCGTGGATGAGCCAGAGAAAACCCTGGCATTCTGGCGAGCACCCGAGGGGGGTCAAAGCGATGATATTTTCTGACTTTGGCACCCGCGCACAGTTGCAGGTGCGCGACTGGCCTTGGAGCTTGCTCAGCTCTGGCACCTAAGCCAAAAGGCTGCCGACGCTCAAACGAAAGGCCCGCGCAAGTAGACGCCGAGGTTCATCATTGTTGTTGAAGAAAAACAGCAAGCGCCGAAGCTGGGAATCTAGCGCCGGGTGGTACCCCGAAGCTGGAAATCTACCACAAGCTGGGAATCTAGCGCCGGGTGGCGCCCCATCGAACGGCTCCGCGGTCAGAGGGCTCATGAGGCTCATAGGGCGCACATGGCACACATTGCTCCAGGGGCTCAGAGGGCCCCGGGGCCCCCGAGGCTCCACGGCCCCCGAGGCTCCCCACGCCCAGGATGCAAACCTTGCATCCTAGGATCGTGAAGTCCCTATCCCATGAAAGTTCCTAGTGCTCCGAGGGCCCCGAGGGCTCCGAGGGCCCCCAGATCCATAACGCAAGTCTTGCATCCTAAGTTCTTGAGGCCCCCATCCCCCGAGGGAGAGATAGAGAGAGGGGGGGGGGGAGAGGAGAGAGAGAGAGAGGAGAGAGAGAGAGAGAGAGAGAGAGAGAGAGAGAGAGAGAGAGGAGAGAGAGAGAGAGAGAGAAGAGAGAGAGAGAGAGAGAGAGAGAGAGAGAGAGAGAGAGAGAGAGAGAGAGAGAAGAGAGAGAGAGAGAGAGAGAGAGAGAGAGAGAGAGAGAGAGAGAGAGAAAGAGAGAGAGAGAGAGAGAGAAGAGAGAGAGAGAGAGAGAGAGAGAGAGAGAGAGAGAGAGAGAGAGAGAGAGAGAAAGAGAGAGAGAGAGAGAGAGAGAGAGAGAGAGAGAGAGAGAGAGAGAGAGAGAGAGAGAGAGAGAGAGAGAGAGAGAGAGAGAGAGAGAGAGAGAGAGAGAGAGAGAGAGAGAGAGAGAGAGAGAGAGAGAGAGAGAGAGAGAGAGAGCGAGGGATGGCGGAGAGGAGGAGGAGGGGGGGGAAGAAGAGAGGAGAGAGGAGGATCAGCAGCAGCAGGGGAAGGGGGGGGGAGAAGGACAGGGGGCAACACGAGGATTTCTGCAGCGGCATCGTTGGGGAAATCCAACGGTACATGCGACGTTGCTTCGAGATGGCCAGGCTTGCACCGTCATTGCTGCATTTGTAGGCATTTAGATTGGAGTCACAGTACTTCTGCCCCTCACGCGCGCTCGGCCGCGCGCAGGGCCGCACTCCCCCAGCCAGCGCAAACAACGCATTCGGATGACTCGCTGGAAAGGGGGAATGTGGAATGGTGAATCAGACGTAGTTTCCATCAAGAGAAACGAAGGCAAATGGACATGTGAATTTGCACCTCCGCCAACAGAAGAGGGAGCGCGCAAATCCCGCGCGTTCGCCACTAGGGAGGAGGCGGAGAAATGCCAAATCGCCTACAGACGCAAATTTGGTTTGAAAAAACATGGCAAATTCGATTGTGATCTGCTGCCCGGTCACACACGGAAGCGAAGACATTAAGCACAGACTCGAGAGAACCACAAATCTGCAATTTTGGGCGTCCAGTTCCGTGGCCATTGGGTTGTGAGTTTCGCTGAGAGAAATTGCACCAAAAGCAGCGACGCCTACCGAACTAAGAGATTCGACGACGTGGCAGATGCTGAAAGGGCAGCGAAAGCTCATTACGAGACGCATATTGGACAGAATCAATGTTACGAAGTCCCGAAAGGAATTGTCGTCGCAAAACATGGGGAGACACAGGAGGCTCTCCGGGCACGGGCGTCTGGCCCAAGGCGAGCTCCTGGACACAAGGGCGCCGCTGGGCGCCGTGCGCAGGAGAGCAAAGTGATCGAAGAGTGGGTCGGAATCTTGAACCAGACAGGTCACTTGTACGAAGATATCAGCGATCGCCTACGTTCTGCGGATGTGCTTGTAATACCTCCCACACTTCGGGACAGAAACCAAGAATGGGACTTGCTGGATTGCCCCAGTGCTCTATGGAACGGTATTCAGATCAAGACATCAACAGCATCCCCTCCGTTATATATATATATATATATATATATATATATATATAAAGTTCTGCCCTGCTCGTATGGCAGCGCAAGGTGATGGATATGGGGGCCACGTCATGGCGGCGGCAAGTCCCGCCACCGTGCCAGCCCAGCATGCTTGGCGGCTCTCGTTCGAGGGGGGGCCGGGGGCCGTGCTCTCGAGGGATGAATCACATAATAACGGTGATGATGCTGATGCTGATGATGCTGATGATGATGATGATTCTGCTGCTGATGATGTTGATGATGAGGATGATGATGATCACGAGGATATCGCAGGAGGCCTCTTGGGGGGCCTGTTGGAGACATGTTTGAAGCCTCTTGGGGGTCTGTTGGGGGCCTCTTGGCGACCTCTTGGGGCTTCTTGAAGGCCTCTTGGGGGCACCTGGGGGCCGTCTGGGGGGCCCCATTAGAAGATTGCGGAAACCCTACCAGACAGCACCTGGCATTCTAGCACGCCCCAACGTGCCAGGAGCACGGTGGCGGATATCTGTCCAAGGTGTTCGTACCCACATTCAGTGGTCAACATCGGCTCAGAGAGTTCTAACCGCTGGGTGGCCCATGTTACTTGCAATGATTCCGAGGTAGCATCACGCTTGGATATGTTGTCTACGCAGCGTCTGCAATTGCCAAGGGGGGGGTGGCTGCACAGGTGCACGATTCGACGGATGAGGCCCGGAACACAGGGGTGAGCGAGCGAGCGTTCGACGCAAAGCCTCGACGAAAACATTCATCGCGCGAGAGCCCCGGGTGCCAGGGCGTTGCGCGCGCATCGGAATTCGGGGCCGCAGGAGCGGGTAAAAAGGGGCGTTCGGCGAAGAGGAGGGGGAAGGGGAGGGCCACTGAGACCCGAGTGTGTCAGGAGCGCTCCTCCTGGCTGGCTGCCCCTGCCCCGGCGCTCGATCGCCTTCGGAAAAATACGGAAGGCTTTTTTTTCTACAGGGCAAATCATCATATACATACGCGCGCCTTTATCTTTATAATCCACAGGCGCCGCGCTTGCCAGCGCGAAGTGGTTCCCCCCCCCCCCCCCCTCCGCGCTCGCGCTCGCTTGCGTCGGGTGGTCGGGGCGCGCTCGGTTAACGATTTTCGCAATCCAGGTGCCTAATTGTTGCTTTTCAGGTATCCAGCCGCGTGGCTCTTTGTGGCGTGCATCCCTGTCCGTCTGTTTTGTTTTGCGCACTTCTCGCTCGCGCGAGCAGCGGCCTGCTGCGTTCGCCAAAAGCGTCGTTTTCTGGACAAAAAAGTGTGTGCGTGTGTATTATATAGATGTGTCTGTGTCTGTGTCTGTGTCCGTGTCAGTGTCTATGTCTGTGTGCGTGCGTGTGTGCGTGTGTGCGCGTGAGTGCTTGTGTGTAGTAGACTGGCTGATATTGGTCTGGGGGCGTCGTCCATGTTCCCCGATCCTCCTCTTCCCACTCGTACCGCTCCACACTAAGCACGGGTGATCTCAGCAGTTTGTAGCACCACGCGCAACAATCACGCGCGATCGCGAGCAGCATCACTAAAAGAGTCGACTCGTGCAACGTTTGTGCAATGTCGTTTGTGTGTTGGGTTGGATGTGGCACGGGTCCTCGTCGAACAGTAAACATTGAACAGCCCCGAATCCATGCGCGAGTTGGGCCTTCGCCAGGCATTCGTGCGCCAACTTCGCCACTGTTCGTAATCGCCGTTTTGGCTCAAACAGTTTTGGCTCATGGAGAACAAGCATCGACGTCCGCGAACCGAAGGTGTGGATCTCTCTTCAACAGATGTGTGCGGAGTTCTCAACGACCGAGTGCCGCTAGCACAGTGCAGACCGAAAGATTTGTGGAATATATCAAAAATTTCAAAAGATGGCACAACCAGCGAATGGGCAACAGTGAAAAAGAACGAGAGTTTGCTTAGTGATCTTTTGGACATTGGTCGAGGGAGGATTCCGAAGCAGAAGTATTTTGCGATTATCTTGGACCAGTGGCTCAAGCATCATTCAATGCATTGGTCATTCACCGAAGTCGAAGGGTGCACTCGGGATCTCCGCTGCATGCTGCAGAGCCTCCTTGCCATCAAAAGGAAACCGGCCCCTTTGGCGCCAAAGAACTACCCGACTCTTCAGATTCTCATCGACAAAATGGCACTCGACGAGGGCGGCCAAACATCAGAAGCACGGAAACGGAAAGCTGCTGACGTCGAGGAGGCATCAGCATCGGCATCGGATGGCAACGAGGATGGCTCGTCATGCGAAGCGGCATCAGCATCGGTTGACTTGGATGCAATGGGCGGGGAGTTGTTCGCACCAAGCTACAAAGTAGAGCGCTCAGCTTCTCAACAAGTGGCGTGCCCTTCACCTTTCAAAGGCTTTTCAATCAAGCCTGCATCGATTCCTAAGTCATGGGCGGCCTCGTCGAGTTCGAGCGGCCACGCAACGACGCCAAGAAGTGGCACTGCTGATGGGGCGATGGGATCCGCACTTCCCTCAGCGAGCCGTTTGGCAGCACTTGCCGCTGAGTCTAACGAAATAGGTCCTTCCCCTGCTGATTTCAAGAGGTTGAACATGCAGTTGAAGGCTAAAACTAAGGCTAAGGCTGAGGCCACGCCCAAGGCAGATGCCAAAGCTAAGGCTAAGGCTGAGGCCACGCCCAAGGCAGATGCCAAAGCTAAGGCTGCCATGCGCCGACCTTCTGCAGCGCCAGTGCGGCGCAAGCCAGCTTCTGCGGCAGAGCGCAACGATGTCGAGGCCGACGCCGAAGCTGCGAAGCTGGCCTTCGACCCAGACCCCATCGCGAAATACTTCGACGTCGACGCGATCGGCGTCGACTTGGCTGTGATCCAGAAGCGTCTTCACTCGCACGTTTGGCACTCGGCAGTGAAGAAGCACACTCTAGACGGCTTGACACAAGAGCAAGCTAAACTCAAGGGCGCCGAGGAGGCCGCCTTGCATGTAGACCGCTGGCGCGAGAAAGTCGGCCTGCCTCCGATAGAGAGGCGAGGCGTTGCCGACGATGCTGAGATGAAAATACACCTTGAGCCTTGAGGTGCACAAGAGGCGCACAAAAAAAATATCTCCAATAATTGCGCAATCGTGATCACCGTAATCATCGCGGCGCCGTGCCGTGCGTCACATATTCCTACTCGTCCTCCCCCTCCCCCTCCCCATCGTCCTCCCTCTCTTCAGCATAGCCTCCATCCTCCTCCCCCTTGCCCTTCTCATCCTCATCCTCCTCCTCATCATCATCACCGTCATCACCATCCTCCTGCCACGCGAAATGCAGAGCAAGCAATCGAGGGAAACGTTACTGAAGACAAACTCGTCCGTGGGCTAATACCGCCTGTGCGTCCCCCCCTCGTCTCATTCTCGTCCCCTCGCTCTCCGTTCGTCACATGCGCCACTGGGGCCTCCTGAAGCCCCTAGAGGCCCAAGAGAGCCCCGAGAGAGGCGCAAGACGGCCCAAGAGGACTCCAAGACGGCCTCGGGGGCCATGAGGGCATGGGGCAAACCAGTGACCACCATGATGATGATTAAGACCTTGAGGGTATTGGGCAAACCAGAAAGGGGGCCATGAGGGCATTGGGCAAACCAGAAAGGGGGGGCATGAGGGCACGGGGCAAACCAGAAAGGGGGCCATGAGGGTATGGGGCAAACCAGTGACCACCATGATGATGATTAAGATCTTGAGGGTATTGGGCAAACCAGAAAGGGGGCCATGAGGGCATTGGGCAAACCAGAAAGGGGGGCATGAGGGCATAGGGCAAAGCAGAAAGGGGGCCATGAGGGCATGGGGCAAACATGCGACCAGCGTCGCCATTTGGGCTCAAGCCATTTGTAAAATGAGCGACCCTCGGGAGTTTGTTCCTTTCTCAGGCACCGCTCAACGTTTGGGCGGCGATGGTTCTGCGGTGCCAGGGTCGCGACAGCCAACCACTCCAAAAGCGCCCCCAGAAGAAGTCATATCGGTGCATGGTTCTCCAGATCGCGATCAGGATCAACTTGCTGTCGATTGCGACCCCAACGTTTCGGATATGAACATCGGGCTCCTAGCCTCTGCCATCGAGCGGATAGAAGTTTGCTCTACGGTGCTGCAGTCGTACGTGCCCCACATCGAGAGCAACAGCTACACGAAGAGCTTCCTCGAGGATGTGGAGAAGATCGTCGCCACGCAGGTCACCCACGCGTCCTACTTCCAGAGCGTGCTGGACCAGAAGCGTGGGCAGCCGCATTGCGACCTACGACTCGAAGGCGCTGTTCGGGCAGCGCAGGAATGCGCGTCTTCATCGGAGGAGGGGTCCAACACCATGAAAGAGCATGCCATGAAGATCATGAACCTCGCCGACTACTTCGGGTCTGAAACCAAACGTTCCGCAGCGAGCACCAGCGACTCCGACGTGGACAGCGCCGAGCTCTTCAGCAA